GAGCCATCGGCAGCCCAAGGAGCTGCTCCACTCTGTCCTGGCCCCGTGCCCTCTCGGTGCTGCAGCCAAGGGAACACTCTGGGCTGGGCAGTGTCACCCACCTGCCCCACGCCACTGTCCCTGGCTGTGCTGTGGCCAGGCTCTGCTCCCAGGAAAGGGAGCTGATGCCTCTGGCTCAGGCCTGCACTGCCACATGCTCCAGGGGGAACACCAGGCAGAGGATGCCTGCCTTTGGTTTTGGTGTGTGCTCCATGCAGATCCCTCAGCAGCAGCACAGAGATCCCCTGGGATACCTGTGCCAGCTCGTACCCACAGACACAGCAATACCCAATACCCACATGGCTCCAGTGCAGGGGACAGCACCTGTCCTTTACAGCTCTGTGCTCTGACCAGTGCTCTGGGATTCAACAGCCCCTTCAGCCACRCTTTCGGTGTTATTGAAAGGTGTGGAGAGACGTTGAACAGAGGAATAGTTCAAATGAGAGAAATGGAAATTCGGGAATATAATGTGGGAAAGGCCAAGCCACAAGTCTGTACCCCAAATTCTGTCTTGGCAAAGCTCTTTTAACAGATCTAGTATCACATCTGCATTATTCAAGAAAAGCTTTTATATGGTTAAATAAAATGAAGAACTGAGAATTTTGAAATCAGCCTAGTAAATCATTCCTAGGTACAGTCAGTGAGTCAAATTTAATATTTTTAACTAGTGAAYCTCCAAGAACTTTGGAAGGAACAGCAGCATCACTGGGCACCCTCCTTCCTTTCCAACGCAGGGAAATTGAGGTACAGCTACGGAAATACCTTCTCCACCACTAGCAGTTACASCTCTGCAATTATTGACTTAATTGCTTTCAGTGAAAAGCAGTATATTGTTTGAAAGTCAAAGCACCTAAAATGCCCTCAAAAGCCAGGAAGCAAAATCTCCGGGGGAAAACAGCTGCTGGGAAGGTTTTGTAAGAAGGGCMGGCGGTCTCAGCCTGGGAGTCAAATAAATTTCTGCTGTGATGAACTTGAAACAGTCAAATAACACATGGACACATCAGCCAGAGTTGCAAACAAAACACTCACTCTTACTCCAAACACTCTGCAGTGCTGCTAATAGAGAAAGTTCCTGGCGCTGGGCACACAGCAGGAACCTTTCTACGCTCATGGACAGAAGAAACAACGTAAGAAGTTCCTTACCCCTTCCATGTGGATCCTGGGATTTGTTGCCAGCCGATGCAGCTGCAGCCCCCTGGGAACTCTCCTGATGGAGGCGGGGGAGGACAGGACCCCCGATCTCTGGATGGAGCCRAACCTGGTGACGTTCTGTCCACACCTGACTCCATCCAGGAGGCGAACGAGGAGCAGGTTGGAGGGCAGCTGCTCAATACTGCACAGGACGAGGGTCCTACACTCGGGGCAGCGCAGCTCCTTCTGCGATTTCAGGATCCTCTGCAGACAGGGCTTGCAGAAAGTGTGCTGGCACGGCAGCACCTTCGCTGTGGCATCGAGCTTTTCAAAGCACACGGGACACTCCAACAGATCGAGGAGAGCCAAATCATCCATCTTCAGCGCAGAGCTCCTTCAGGAGCGGAGCCGGGGCCGTCCRCAGCCCACATCCAGCGGAGCCGGCTGAGATGCCTTCGTGCGCCTGCGAGATCCTGGGCTCAGACAGCTATCCTGCACGGAGGAGGAGGGAGCAGGGAGCAGAGCTGCGCTGCTGGAGTGTGCAATGCAGCCACCTACATCCAGAGTGTGCCTCGCCAGCCAATCTGCAAAGGCACACGCTGCGCTTGCAGCCCGGTTTGGAATGAGTCACTCCTGACTCAGTTGGGGCGAGGGGCCGGGGCCGGCTCCGGGCTGGTGCGAGCTGGGGAGCCGCGGGTCCGCTGGCCGGGCACAGGGCACAGGGCACAG